CATTGACCTCCAGAAGATAGTAAGTGTGTGCTCTACATATAAAAAATGTTGTTTTTACAACACAAATTTTAATTCTGTTTGCAGCATTCTTTTTATCTTCTCTTTCATTTTCTACTGTTGGGTCAAATAAATTCAGTTCGCTGCTAGCTTGGAGTAAACTGGCTGATTCGTGATTAATATAATAAGAAAAAGGGCAGTGAATTTTATGAAAAATTCTTTTAGACTCTTATGATTAGGGGATATCACATTGTGCTGTATGAAATATGAAGTAAGCAGTCATGACAAGTCAATAAGAGAACTGATCATATTCGGGATATCATAGTCAGGCCACGTTTGGCAGGGTAAGGTAGTGATTTAATTTATGTTTGGGGTACTTGGATAAGAAGATGGATGGGTTAGTATAACAAACGTGACCTTAGGGGAGAAAACGCCATGCTTTTGCATTGAAGCACATAGTTTTCAACAGTTAGTGGTATTTTTTTCCTTTTGAATGACTGCAAGGCATGTTTGATCATTGACTTCCCAGTATCCAATTTGAGGCCCTCTTAATTATCTATTTATATATTCTGGTTTCTGCTCAACTTACATTGTACTTGTAAGGTAAGTGAGTTGAGATGGAGCCAGAGTGTTTAATTCTGAGATCCGTAATGTCGTTTATTCACAATCATATGCTATCCTTCTGTTTTGCACTGTATGGTATCCTTCTGTTTTGCACTTGCTCTGGAAATAATTTTACAAAATATGTTATTTGGCAGGATGGGTTTATCCAATTCATCAAGGAGTCGAAGAGTTGGTCGGAAATCCAATTTGCAATGTGAGGAAATTCATCCAGAATGGAATTATCAACAAATCTTATTTAAGTTTCTGATTGGAATTGTGAACTGACATTTAAAGGAAAAGATTTACTTGCGTATGTGCATGCTGCAGTCTCCCTGCTCAATTGAAAAACTTGTTTATGTTAGCCATGTTTTTGTGGTATTCAAGATTGCATTCAACTGCATGAACTGATATTTCATGCACATACAATCGAATCGGGAATGTTTGCTTTGAATCGATGGATCTTAAAATTAGAGAGTTTTGAGTGTTTGCAAAAATGCACAAAAGAGGAAGATGAGTGACGCAAAAGGTGACTTCTTAGATTGTTTTTGCTATATACTAGTATAGTACCACATTTATTACTAAATTTTGAATTAACTAAAAATTTATATGGTGACAAAATTAATTTATTCTACAGCCAAAATAAATATAAAAAACCTTATAAACCGTGCAATTTATAAATTCTCATTATCTTCTGTTACCAAAACAATTCAACAGCTTGTTTCTAAAAGAAATTTGAAACATTGCTAACTCTGTTCCATTAGCTTCATCGGTTAACCCCTCACATCATTATCATAGCTGTTGTCCTCAAGATGGCTTCCCATAGCTGTCCAAAGAGGCAGCCTGAATCCTGTCTTGTTTACTCCCTCGAAGATTACCAAAATCATTTCTATATCCAGACTGCATGCTCTGATAAATGCCGCTGGGTGCTATAGGTCTCCCGGCTGTTCCAGTCTGACCTTGAACCTGTTGCTGTCTTTGAAGAAAGTACGGCTGATTTTGCTGCTGCTGACCATTAGACCCATGTTGTTGAGATATTGGAACCGAACTAGGCTGCAGATACTGTGCTTGCTCGGTTGACTGAGGTTGCTCCTGCTATATGTTTATATAGTTAGGTAGAAATATAAAGGACCAAAAAATCTAAAGACGGCCTTTATAGGGTGATCCACCTGTGTTTTTTCTTGTGGTTGGGCATCTGCAATACTTGCAAGGTACATTAAGTTCTGCTGTAGCTGTGCTTGATACCTAAATCATTTGAAATTGTCATGCATACTGATTATGTTCATATTTATGGATAAGAATTTCACCCATAATGAGCTAGCTATATATGCAAATGTCAGCAAGAAAATCATGTAAGCTCTATGTTGCCAAGGTGATTGGCTAAAGTGCCAGAAATTTCATACACTATCCCAAACTGTAAAAATGATTCCTATCCACCACAAAATTGTCCTATAATGGTGTCCTCTCTAGTTTGAGGTCATATTATTTCTTATTCATGTGAAATGTTCTATTTCAGTTCCAGCAATGATGCACCATTGAAGGAAAGTTACTCCTGTTCTCCTAAAGATGGCCGATTGCTCCTATTAAATTCATACTATGATAGTCCTTTATAAACTTATTGAATTGGCAAACTCGACCATAATAGGTATCTGGGCTTTAAGCTCCCGATGCAAAATTATAACATGTAATCATGACAAATAAATCCTTAATGCAGCATCCCTTAATGTTAGAACAGAGATAATAATCTTATCGTTTGTGGCAAGAAACGAGTGAACAATTCAAATCCCCCAAGTAATACATTCATCATATGATCTTTTTCTTTTCTAAGTCTAACCACTAACTCTACAGCTGTGAACTTAAACTATGCTACTTAAGCATGTTCGTTTCTCTTACCTAAGACTCTTGGCCGCGCCCTTGTTTCTACTCATTTTCATCCAAAATCAAATATTTCTTTGACATGATCAGGCCTAAACTTTTTACAAGCATTCAGGTTGCAACTAGTGTAGAAACCATCCCTGTAAGCTGCCAAAATAACAAGCCCGTGGACAGAACTACATATTGAGAATACAGAATCAGGACGTGGACATAAGTCTTGCTGTTCCATCTATATTAGAATTATAAATACTCTCTCTTATCAAGCCACCTAATTCGCCAGAATTCAACGTAGATTCAACACATAATTACGGAGGTAAATATTGCAAACTTTTCCAAGAGTTGCAAAAGTTAGAACTGGGGGGGAATTTCTATTCGAATATCAGGACAAAATAATATACTTGAGAGGATATGATATGATCTGACTAATTTAGGACAAAAAGAAAAAGAGAAGTTGCAGGAAGTTAGAAAATGGCATGACTTGTTTCCACTGAAAAGCATAATGGGCAAGAAGTCACTCACGAAGTGCACTCAGAAAATTTGCCGAGTCTTTGATTTTCCAGTATCACCATAATCAACTGTGTATTCTCGTCCAGGTACTGTATCAATCAAGTAAACCATAAATTTCATTTTAGAGAGTTCATATGATGGTATCTTCTTTATCTCACCTTCCTAGTTCTTCTTAGGATAAGAATATTAATTGAATTAAAAGTGTGAACAGGTTAGACTTGTAGTACAATCATATATTTCAATATGCGTACCTGTATAAACTTTATACAGTTCAAAACCAATTTTGTTATCTACATGAATGCATGAATATTAGAACTCAGTCTTTTAGAGGAAGAACCTCAGAAACTTGGCCATATTCAATAAATATATTTTCTACTTTTCATTCTTGATATTGATAAAATTTCTTTCTTAATATCCGTATATATATAGTACTTAACTGTGAACAAAGTAATTTTCTTGAAAACACTGACAGAAAACTTTTTGTTGTTTGAGACTTATATAACTTTTGCTTTATTTTCTAAACACTCGTTCATTTTCAAGAATCACATGTTTTTATATATAAACAAATACGAGTGAAGAAATGAAAGCTAGAAATCTTTTTCTTTATGCTCCGAATCCAGATTTACATTTCTGGATAAATGTTTTTGGTCTCCAGTTTATAGCAGAGGCAAACAACTGTTTATATAGACAAGGATCCTTATGGTTTTCAATACGGAAATAATTTCATAGATTTCAAGTCAAACTGGATTTAAAGTAAATTCTACGTTTCTGAATAATTGGGGAAAAAATAGCAGAGAACCAAGCAAGAACAAAAAACAAAACAGATAAAGCTGAAACTGTTATCTGAAATGAACATAAACAAGTGCTCCCAACACAATGCATGCATAACCAATCTAACATCAGAAGAATCATAGTACATATCAGAATCGCATGTCGTATATATATATGAACTCATGCATGTTATACAGTTAATGTGCATGTTAACCGAACCATACCCTTTGAATCTGCTCAGTGGTTACGTTTATAGGAGGGCTCAGAATCTGTGATCGCTGCTGCATTTTCTACTATCAGTTCCGGAACCCTAACCCTAGTTACCGTTAAGATGGAAAGAAGAAGAAAGAAAAAACGTCAATGAACTCCTTCGCTAAACTCCAGTTTGCGCTCTCTCGAAATGTGGGAGGAGAAAAAGGAAAAGGTTTTGCAGCAGGTCACAAACCTCAAAAAGAAGAGAGATAGAGAGAGAGAGTGATGAGAGAACCGACGCCGTTTTATGTCAATTGTCTTTTTTCCATTTAAAAAAAAGAAAAAGCAAGGAAGCGATGTCGTTTAATTGGTGGGTGTTTCCATACGACGTCGTTTAATCGGTGGGTGTTTCCATACGACGTCGTTTTAACGAAGGTATATTTGGAGGGAGAGAGTATCAGAATTAAGAAGAGTGAAAAGAGAGAGAATCAGGAGAAGGAAGAAGAAGAAGAAGGAAGAAACGAAAATGGGATACGTGTTGAGGGTAAGGTTGGCGTCTTTCTTCACCGGAGCAGCAACTGCGTCGTTATTGGGTCTGTACGTCCTGTACAGGGATTACAAAATTGCCCACCAAGCCATCTCTCATAAGGTATCCAGTCAAATATCATTTTTTTTATAATACAGTTCTGTTCATTGGAGTTCCAACCACCTGTGCTTTATTTTTAGCGAATGGGAACACTTGGGTTCTCGTTTTAATAGATTTTACGAAATTCCATGGTTGTTCGATTGATCCCAAATGGGAGATATGAAGGACTCCTGGTCTTTTTTTTTTTTTTTTTTATATAAAAAGCTCCCAATTAATTTTAGCTCTTCAATTGTTGATTTCACAAATGGGCACCTTGGTTTCTAGATGGAGGTTTTGAGAAATCAGCAACATTTATCATTGAGATTAGGAAATCAATTGCCAGATTGTCATTGACGGGTACTAGGGTTCTTGACCAGCTAGGCTCTGCACGTTCCATGGTAGCAATTGATTCGTCTGATTTATAGATGAAAATGCAACGGTATACTTAAGTGTGCATCCCTTGCTATATTACTGGCAGAAGAATAGAAAGTTTGCTGATGGTAAATACTTTAGTCAGTATGTGTTTTATGAATTTTTAGCCTTTGCTATTTTAATTGCCTTCAACGACAACTAAATCAGTTTTGGGTCATTTCTTAAAAGAAAAAAACGTTGTTTATGTTCACTATTCTTATAAAGATTTGTTCCTTCTCTTGTTCTTTTTGAGTGATAAACTCAAAGATTTATCTTTTATTATAGGACTGTTGTTTTGTTATTCCGGAGTATACATGCCAATTTTTGGGTTAAATGAATGAATTTCTCCATAATTCTTGAACTATGATAATCTATCTATGTTAACACAAAGTTAGCTACATGCAAGGTTTGGTGTTTGGATGGAAACAGAGGCTGTGGCTGATTTGATCTTTTGCTGGTTTCCAACTTATAAAGCTGTAGGCTTCTGTATGTGGCTGATTAGGAAAGTATCTTGTAATACTGGTATTTCAGATGAATGGACACTTGTTTGAGTCATTTATCTTGGTTGTGGATTTGTTGCAGCCTCGTGGCTTTTGCATTCAGATTTGCTTTAGAATTCCGATTTGCAAATGAAGTTTAATATTGAGCTACAAGTTTTGCTATAGGAATAGTATATGACTAACAATCAAATGTGCCTGCCGAGATCTGTACTTTTTTTGAGAAGAAAAAAGAAATATTATAAACAGAGGCACCAAAGGGTGCTCCCATGTAGAGAAAAAGCAAAGTACAAGATAGAGTCAGTGAAAACATCAGTGTGGTTCCATAAATCTTCTTTTAGGAGCTGATGAACTTTAAACAAAAAATACAAGGCCCGGAACTATAGGTCTCTAAGAGTAGAAAAGTCAGCAGCAGAACAGAACCATCAAATACTCAAGTAGTTCTTTCTTTCTAAATTGTCCGAGAAATGGAGTGGGGAATGAGGCTGATGATAATCTTCTTACACCCACCAGCCGAATGCTCTCCTAGGCTTTCAACTGAGCGGAGATTGATCTACTAACCACTCATTGGATACCCAATAAGCATATCTTTGAATACTAAAGGTTTCTTCCCTTACACCTTAAAAGAAGAAAGCATGGGTTTCCATTATCCCCAGGAAAATAAGAAAGAAGTCAGTAGCGATGTAACCACCTTTCTCATATTATCCATGGTAGGAATATTGCCCCGGGCAGCTTCCCAAACAAAAAAAGCCACATGGAGGGAGGACCTGCTTTTCCAAATAGGCTTCCAAACTGAGGAGTTGTTTTTATTACCTTAAGGATGAATAGTTGCAAGGTTGAAGCCGTTAGGAGGAAAGAATAAGAACTAAGCGAAAATATTTTGCTTGATTTAGATTCAGATGAATAAAGATTGGTATTGATGCCAATGTTTAGCCCTAGCCCTTGCTTTGTCTACATATACATCGAGACACTCTTCTTGTTTCTTGTGGTATTCATTAAGCATGATTTTCTGAGGATCTAATTGGTTATTTTTCATCTGGAAAGGAGAAAACCATAATAGATTGAGAAGAATTCAATTATGCTTTTCCATGACCTATTATATATTTGCTTGACATGTGTGCCTGTGTATTTATGGGAGGAAAACATGGACGGTGACTTAGTTTTGTTTCTTCTGACGTGTTCTCCAGGTAGAAAATGTTTACGAGTCCCTAGATAGACGAATCTCCACTCTGGAAAGTTTGAAAGAACCTGAAGTTCCTCAACAGGTGGAAGCAACAGAGCAGTAACTTGAAAGCATGTGATTTTCAGTTAACTTTATGGGTTCAAGAATGTTTTTCCTCTTGAAATCCAAATGCTCTCTCAGTAGCTTTTGGGTTTCTCTCTCTTCTTGCAACAATAATTACAATTTCACTCAGCTGTATCACTATATGATATACGCAATTGGCTGACTCTGTTTACCCGAAGGACTTGTGTTTTCTCTTTAGTTATCTGTGGAAATTCCCATTTCATTTGAGATTTTAGAATTGAAGTTCAAATCATGTGTATTTTTTTTTAACCTGTGTTTGCAGTCTGCTAATGATGAAGTTTTTCATCCTACAATATAATCTGAAGGATCCAGGCTTTTGTTGAGAATAAGAAATACTTGACGTTGGATTGACTTTAACACGTATATATTTTGAAGATATTATATTTGACAATAGTTAATTTTTATTTTAATTGTATTCAAAGTATAAAGTTACACTCATCTTTTTACAGGAGAGTATTTTCAAATGACAATAAAATGCTAGTTAAAACTTCTGCATTTCATGCTATTTTTTCAGTTGAAACTTATTAGAATCTCTAGGGAGTTTAGCATTCAACTTCTGAAGAACTCCTACAATATCTCTCATGGAAGGTCTTGAACTAGCTACTGGTTCAGTGCAACTTAGTGCCAATTCCAACAGTCTAAGTGCTTTGTACTGTTCATCACTGTCCCACAGGCTAATCTCTTCATCAAGAAAAGAAATACTCTCTTCATTTTCCATCAACTTCTGTCTTGTCCATAATACAATGTCCATTCCTTCTTCAAAGCTTGGATCTACAGGCAATTTTCTGATTAAAATCTCCAGCAGAATCACACCGTAGCTATAAACATCACTTTTCGCTGTCAACTGGGTTGAATATGCTGTCTCTGATAAAAAAAAAACAAGAACAGAACACGAATTAGCAGATCTGGGTTTGTTTTTAAGACTCGAGATTGTTGCTATTTGATATCAGAATCAAAGTCTAGTAATTTGAGTTTTTAATCCTGCCCTTCTTTTTAATTGATTTCAGCACAGAGTAGGACAGGTCTGTGCTTGATTTCGAAATATAGTCCAGTGAACTATTCACAAAGAAGTGTGATAACATATAAACAATATTAATAACAAACCTGGTGCCATGTAGCCAAGGGTGCCGATTATTGAAGACTTTGTTGAGCTTGCATCAGAATCATGAACCAATTTTGCTGTCCCAAAATCGGCAATCTTAGGTTCGAGTTCAGAATCCAGAAGAACATTGTTTGACTTGATATCCCTATGAATGATTTGTGGCGAACAATCATAATGAAGATAGGAAAGGCCTTGAGCTATGCCTAAAGCAATTCTGTATCGAGTGTTCCAGTCCAGAATTAACCGGTTTTCTTTCCTATGAAGCACATCGAAAAGGGTTCCTCCGGGCATGTACTCTGTCACAATGAAACCATAGCTATCTCTGATGCAGTAACCTGCCATTCTCACCACATTTCTGTGCCTAACGAACCTCAGGGTTCTCATCTCAATTCTGAAATTTGTCTCCGACAAGTTTACCTTCTTAACCGCCCAATTCTTTCTCGAGTTTAGAGATTGTGTCTTGTAAACTGTTCCATGCTTGCCTCTTCCAATCACATACTTGTCACTCCATCCTTCAGTCGCTCGCATTATGTCTTCAAGTCTTAAATCCTCTGGCAAATCCTCAACTTTACATCTATATTCTTTCAGAGGAGATTTATCTTGAAGGAATTTCTCTCTAAGCTTTCGGACTATAAATGCGTAGACTACAGCACACAGCACCAAAAAGAAGACAACGCCAATGGTCACACCAGCCAACAACTGGCTTCTGTTATGGCCTTTTCGAGCTTCCTCACAATAACCTGACAAGCAAAGTCCTGGATTTCCTATAAAACACTCTTGATTGGAAGCCACCATTTGTGTCCATTTAGATGGGAGATTTCCTACCAGGTGATTGAATGAGATGTTGACAAATGAGAGTGAGATCATGTTGTTGAGTTCCACTGGGATTTCCCCGGAAAGTCTGTTGCTTGATAGATCAAGAATCTGTAACTTGTCTAGTTTTCCAAGACATCCTGGGATTTCTCCAGAAAGCCTATTGTGGCTCAAATTAAGAAGTGAACTGAAATGATGCAGGTTACTTATGCTGCAAGGAATTGGACCCTGAAGCATGTTGCTTCCCAGCTGCAACTTGATGAGATTTCCAAGGGCCGAAAACGAATCAGGTATAGATCCATTGAGTTCGTTCTCTTCAAGAAGAAGACTTTGCAGTTTTTCTAAACTTGTCATCTCTGCAGGAAGGCTTCCCGAGAGAGAATTTTTGCTAAGATCGAGTTCAATTATCTGTTTGCAGCCACTCAAGCTAGCTGGAATGCTTCCTGTCAACTTATTAGAAGACAATCTCAATACCTGAAGATTCTTCAAATTTCCAAACTCAGGAGGAATAGAACCCCAAAGCCGATTCTCTGAAAGGTCCAGCATTGACAGATTGTTCCAGTAACCAAGAAGGTTGGGTATCTTTCCTTCAAGCAAGTTTCCTCTAACATCCATGTAAATGATTCCAGAGTTCTTATTCATGGTATCTGATATATTTCCATTCAAGAGATTGTAACTGAGAATCACCCTCTTGAGAGATGAGCACTTCCCAATTTCAACCGGAAAACTCTCATTGAACCGGTTGTTTGCAAGAGCTAAAACTGAAAGATTATTATAAGTGCATAAGCTTGAAGGAATAGCTCCATGAAATCTGTTCCCTGATAAATCTAATTTGACTAAACCAGAGGAACTTTTCCCGAGCATTTCCGGCAACTTTCCGGTGAGATTATTATGAGCCAATGACAGAAATGTAAGTTTCCTCAAATGGGTAATTTCATCTGGGAGTGTTCCACTCAAACTGTTGTCATACAAAGCCAACTCCACAAGATTGCTAATATTACCAATCTCTTTAGGCACATTTCCCTCAATTCCATTGTTGAACAGATGCAAAATCTCGAGATTTCGAAGTTTCGAAAACTCTCTAGGAATTTTTCCTCTAATAAAGTTATGCTGAAGCCTAAGTTGTACTAATGAACTGCAGTTTCCCAGTTCTGAAGGCAATGAACCAGTAAGCATGTTGTTAAAGAGTAACAATTCATATAAATAAGTAAGATTTCCTATTGATTTAGGAATCTGACCCACAAGATTATTTTCTGATAAAGCAACAATAGAAAGCTGATTACATTCACCAATTCTCTCAGATAAAGTCCCATTAAGTCTGTTTTCAGAAAGAACAAGCTCCTGTAAATTTCTAAGAGACCATAAAGTCTCTGGAATTTCCCCTTCAAGATTATTGCCATTAAGGTAAAGGACTTGGAGTTGTTCAACACCATTGAAGATCTTCGGTTGAATGGTACCTTGAAAATCATTTTCAGAAGCTATAAACATGGTAAGATTTTGGCATGAACTCAGGGTCTTAGGCAAAGTACCTGAAAGTTTATTCTCATGAATCCAAAGTTCAAGAATAGGACATGGAGATGGAAAATCTGGAAGTTCACCGGTTAGGTTGTTTGTGTTCAAGTACAAAAACTTCAACTTCGGCAAAGAGAAAATCTCAGCCGGAATCTTTCCACTCAAAAAGTTATTGTACAATCCAAGATATTCAAGATTAACAGAGAGATTTACCTCAGCCGGGATTTTTCCAGAAAGCGAGTTATAACCCAAATCAATCCTCGAAAACCGCTTTGATTGAAACAACCCAGGTGGGATTTTCCCTGTCAAGCCATTATCATTCAAAAGAAGAGTATTCAGTCGGCTACAATCTGAGAGTATGGGCGGTATGCCGCCGGTGAACTTGTTCCCGCTGAGGTCAAGAGAAAGCAAACTTTCATGGCGGCAGAGATAGGAAACCGGTTTGTGTAAGACGCCGGAGAGTCCATAACCGGTGAGGTTCAAGGCCTTGAGTTGAAAAGTAGTGTTGTCTTTCTGGGGGTAGCATGAAACACCTGGCCAGTTGCAAGGTGGAGTTGATAGATTCCATGGAAGAAGCTCCTGAGACTGCTTTGGAAGACTGTAAAGGAATTGAAGAAGATGAGTTGCAGAAGGGTTTAAGGAGAGGGATGAAGAAGAAGCTACTACTATAAGGGTGCAAAGAGAGAAGAGAGCATGGAATGAGGGAGACATGTTAGAGAATCTTGTAAACCCAAGAAAAAAGAAATAAAGTTAGAGCAATGTTTATATATGTATATGGGTAACATATACACATGTAGATACACTATTTTAGTGGGTAAATAAAGTTGAATCCGCTGATGTTAAATGGGTTGTGTGGTATAATGTTTTGTGGGTGGAATCTGAGTGCGGTGCAGATGCTTTTGTGGGGTTTTGAAGAACAGCACATGTTGAAGCTGCTTTATTTCTTCCGGATGCCATTTAATTTTGAGTAATCGAAAAAGAGAAATTTGGCTTGGAGCAACCTTTGAGTGAAACAAAAACTATTATTTTGGACACTAGCTATGGACTATAGTCCATTTAGAACAAAAAATCAAAAGAGAATTATTATTATATTACACATATACATATATAAATATTGTTGTACTTTATTACCCATATACCTATATAAATATAATAATATTTGTATAGTAATAGTTAAAATATTATTACATTTACCATTAAATTTCATTTTATTATTATTATAAATTATCATGATTTTTAAAATTACATATAAGTACTATATCTTATTATTCACTTTGAATTTCTAGTTGTTTATTGAGTTTTTTTACTCAAAATAATAAATTAGTAATTTAATTTATAACTTATATATTATGTTATATTTAATTACCAAAATTTTCACAAATTTATTATTGAATTAGTATTTGTTTTAAAACATGATTTTAGTGAATTGTTTTATAAAAACAGTGTAAGTTTTTTTTTCTTACAATTGTTTTTAATAGTAACATTAAATATTCATATTAATAAATTGCTAATAAAATATAATATATTAAATTTAATTCTTGAGTATAATAAACACAATTAAGTAAAGGTATTTTGAATTAAAACAGTTATTAAATGATAAATTCAAATGGGTTACCAAAATGTTTTTAGTAAAAAATTGTGTTAATAATATATGGTGCAATATAATCAATTAATGTTATTACCATAATCTAACCATCCACTTTAAGAAATATAACATTATTATTATAGAGTTATAATTCTCGTTCATGTATTCGTATTTACATCTAGTATAAAAAATTACTATATATGTTGTCATTATAAATTAAAGGTAGCCCATTTTGTTACCATCATTAACAAATATATATCTATATATATGTATATTGTGTTAAAATAGCTTTATACTTAACACAAATAAACTAGAAACCGGAGAGAAAAACTTACTTCCATTATGATAGCTCCTGAACTCAATAGAACCACATAACTTGATGTACTCCAATCATTTAAATCTCCAGCGTAATCGTTGTTCGTATAAACAACTAATCTTTCATCTCCTCCCCTTTTATATAGTATCTCAATTTATAACGTGCCTTTTAAATATCTTAACACTTTTTTGGCTGCTTGAAAATGAAGCTATGTGGGATGAGCCATATATCTACTCAAGAGACTTACAACAGGCATAATGTCTAGTCGAGTAGCTGTCAAATACATTAAGCTACATTCTATTTGCTTATAATAATTATTGTCCACCTTTACTCCATCCTCATCACGCATCAATTTATAACCTGGAACAATTGGATTATGAACTGAGTTGCATTTATCCATATCAAGCCTTTTTAGTACCTTCTGCGTGTATCTCCTTTGACAAATAAAAATATTTTCTGCAACACTTCTTTGCCAAGAAAATACCTCATTTTTTCAAGGTCCATCGTCGAATTCATGCATCATTGATGACTTAAATTTAAAAAACATGTGCTCATTATTCCCTGTAAATATTAAGTCATTAACATAGAGAAAAATAATTAAAATTTACCTCCTTATCCTCTTTCGATGAACAGAGTATGCTCATAAGAACATCGTTCGAAACCTTCCTTAGTAAAATATGACTTTATTCAACTATTCCAAGCTCGTGGAGTTTACTTTAGTCCATATAAAGCTTTCTTTAATTTGTATACTTTATGTTCATCACCTTTCTTCTCATAACCAAGATGTTGCTCAACAAAAACTTCCTCACTAAGTTTGCCATGGAGAAAAGCAAACTTTACATCTAACTGAAAAATTAGCCATCATTTCTGAGCTGCAAGAGAGATCATTATTTGAACAGTCTCTAAACGTGCTACAGGTGCAAAAACTTATGTACAATCCACGCCATACTTTTGACTGTAGCCCTTTACAACCAAACGAGCTTTGTACTTCTCCATTTTACCATTTTCATTGAGCTTCGTTTTATATACCCATTTTACACCAATCTTTTTTTGTGCCGGTTGGTAAATTTGTCAATTTTCAAGTATCATTTTTTTTTATTGCTTTAATTTCCATATCCATCGTTACTCTCCAATGCACCTCTTTTACCGCCTTTTCAAAGAGAATTGGATCATTCATTGCAAACATAGCTGAATATGTCATATCTTATTCCTCAGATAAACCTTCTCCACTTACATAATCATCCATCCAATTTGATTGCCTTCTTAACCTATGTTGACAAATCTCAAGTAAAGATCCTTCACTAAAACTAGATGAATTACCTTCATTTAATTCATTTATAAATTCAGGTTCCTCAATGTTGATGCAATCATTATTTTCAGCTTCATTCTCATCTCCGACAACTGTATCTAGTTCATTTTCATTGTTGCTGCAATCAAAGGTAGCCAAAATAAATTTTTCATGACTTTTGTCTCAATTCCAATTGTTGTTTTCTTCAAATAAATTTTTCATGGCTTTGTCCTTTTACAATTAGGAATATGAGCATGATATATGCATCCAAACACCTTGAAATGGTCTATAGATGACTTGGATCCGCTCCAAGCTTTTTTTAGAGTTTTATTTTTCACTACAAGTGTTGGACTTCTATTGAGAATATGAACTGACCAGTTTACAGCTCTAGCCAGAAAGTTTTAGGAATCTTTTTTCCTGATAGTATACTTCAAACAATATTCATGATGGTTAGATTCTTTCTCTCTGGGACACTATTTTGTTAAGAGCTATATGCAGTTGTTAGTTGTCTTCGGACACCATTCTCACTACAAAAGTTAATGAATTCAAATACGGTGAACTCACCCCCACGATCAGTACAAATATACTTTATGGTTAAATTTATCTCTTTTCAACACGAATCTTATATTTCTTGAAAGAAATTTAAGATTATGATTTTTTAGCTAAGAAATGAACCCAAACTTTATGATTATAGTCATTAATAAAACTAATCATGTACCTTTTGTTGCTATTAGATGTAGGACTGATTGGTCCTCACATATCAGCATGCACCAATTCAAGAATTTGAGAAGCTCCAAAGTGCCTTCCTTGGAAATGGATCTCTATGTTGTTTTCCTGCTAAACAATCCTTATATATATTCACATGAGTTTTAAAACAAGGCAATCCTCTCACCATTCCCTTTTGTTGAAGAAGTTTCAAATCACTAAAGCTTAATTGACCATATGTACAATGCCAAAGTTGAGTTGGATCTTCTGTGAAAGAATTAAAATAAGCTTCCTCCTTCAATTGTATTTGAGCAAATAATTGAACATTCAGTTTAAAGAAATTTTGACTCCATAATCAAGCCCTTATTTAGGTGATAGATTTTGCATGTTCCTTATTGTATAAGAATTATAAGTCCTTTGTCAACTAATTAACCAATGCTTATTAGGTTATTCTTTAATCCTGGAACATAAAATACACCTGTAATGACTTGTATAAGACCATTTACCAATATTCATCAACTAATTAACCAATGTTTATTAGGTTGTTCTTTAATCCTGGAACATAAAATACACCTGTAATGACTTGTACAAGACCATTTACCAACATTCGCACATACCTTTACTCATCATGTCCATACTTGAGTTATCTCCTAATTTCACTTTCTCCTTGAAATTTTCATCAAAATTTGAGAAAAACTCCTTTTTGCTACACATGTGATTACTATATCCAATATCGAGAAACTACAGTTCTTTTTTGTTGACTTTCTTATTGTTTGTGTATGTCATTAATAACATTTCTTCACTATCTTCCACATAGTTTACTCTTGCTTATGTCTCCTTCTTTGGACATTCATATTGAAAATGTCCAAATTTGCGACAGTTATAACATTCAATAGTGGCTTTGCTGAAACTACATTTGCCTCCTCCTCTTCTAAGACCTCACATTTCACCACAGCCTTGTCCTTATCTTATTTCTCCTTAAGACTCTCCAACAGTGACCTTCAATGCTTGTTCTTCCATAAGATGAGCCTTCATACGTTGCTCATGTACTAAAAGACTACTTTGTAACTCATCAATAGTAAGGACATCCAAATCATTTAATTCTTCTTCAATAGAGCACACCATGTAATCATATTTGGATGTCATGGGTCTCAAAATATTTTCAATGACAATTCATCGTCTATATTCCCTTTATTAGCTCTTAACTTATTAACCAAAGTAAGAGTGTGAGCAAAATACTCATTTATAGATTCTCCCTCCTTCATATTCAGCATCTCAAACTCCTTTTGAAGAGCCTGTCACTGTGATCGTTGAACCTCTGCTGTCCCTTGATATTTCTGCTTTAAAGAATCCCAAATGCTTTTGTAAAGGCCCGGAACTTAAATAGAAATAAAATCATAAATTAAATGCAGAAGTGAAATAATAGAGTTAGAATTTACATTCCTTACACAATACTTTAGAAGACCAAATAGGATTACGAGAATGTCCATTCTAAAAGAACAAATGAAAATCAAGAAATAAACAAAAAGTAAATAACTAAACAATTCTAGGACGACATTCACTAGTTCTTGAAGGAAGTTTGGGTGGTGAACTATCCACAACCTCCTTGTTGATCGAGATATAGATCTTGATCTTTTTGATATGAAATAGTTAATAAATGGGTGAGCTACACTAGCCTAATAAGAATATTACACTAATTACAGATATGAAAAACTGAAGATTGGAAAAAAAATAACCAATGGAGTTCTTAATTTAATGTAAATTCATTTACTATAAAGAAAGTCATTTATTCCATATTTGTGTAATAAGTCTTTCCCAATAATAACTTATAAAAATTCATATTCATACACTATTATTTATCTTATAGAAGATAATAAGAAATGATCATTTTACTTTTTTTACCCGCTTACCGGTACCCTTGGGGTTCATAGGGATGTCCTCCTACTCGTAAACCCAATATCTAATTAAACTT